CTTGACAGTTGTCCAAAAGACGACCATCGACACCTTGCACAAGGAGGGCAAGACACAAAAGGTCATCGCTAAAGAGGCTGGCTGTTCACAGAGCTCAGTGTCCAAGCACATTAATAGAGAGGCGAAGGGAAGGAAAAGATGTGGTCGAAAAAAGTGTACAAGCAAGAGAGATAACCGCACCCTGGAGAGGATTGTGAAACAAAACCCCTTCAAAAATGTGGGGGAGATTCACAAAGAGTGGACTGCAGCTGGAGTGAGTGCTTCAAGAACCACCACACACAGACGTATGAAAGACATGGGTTTCTGCTGTCGCATTCCTTGTGTCAAGCCACTCTTGAACCACAGACAGCGTCAGAAGCGTCTTGCCTGGGCTAAAGAGAAACAGGACTGGACTGCTGGTGAGTGGTCCAAAGTCATGTTCTCTGATGAAAGTAAATTTTGCATTTCCTTTGGAAATCAAGGTCCCAGAGTCTGGAGGAAAAGAAGAGAGGCACTTCATCCACGTTGCTTGAAGTCCAGTGTAAAGTTTCCACAGTCAGTGATGGTTTGGGGTGCCATGTCATCTGCTGGTGTTGGTCCATTGTGTTTTCTGAGGTCCAGGGTCAACGCAGCCACATACCAGGAAGTTTTAGAGCACTTCATGCTTCCTGCAGCTGACCAACTTTTTGGAGATGCAGATTTCATTTTCCAACAGGACTTGGCACCTGCACACAGTGCCAAAGCTACCAGTACCTGGTTGAAGGACCATGGTATCCCTGTTCTTAATTGGCCAGCAAACTCTCCTGACCTTAACCCCATAGAAAATCTATGGGGTATTGTGAAGAAGAAGATGCAATACACCAGACCCAACAATTCAGAAGAGCTAAAAGCCACTATTAGAGCAACCTGGGCTATCATAACACCTGAGCAGTGCCACAGACTGATCGACTCCATGCCACGCCGCATTGCTGCAGTAATACAGGCCAAAGGAGGCCCAACTAAATACTGAGTGCTGTACATGCTCATACTTTTCATATTCATACTTTTCAGTTGGCCAACATTTCTATAAATCCTTTGTTTTTATTGGTCTTCAGTAATATTCTAATTTTCTGATATGATGAATTTGAGATTTTCATTTGTTGTCATTTGTAATCATCAAAATTAAACAAAATAAACATCTGAAATATATGAGTTTGTATGTAATGTATGAATATAATATACAAGTTTCACTTTTTAAATGGAATTACTGAAATCAATCTACTTTTTCATGATATTCTAATTTTATGACCAGCACCTGTATATATTTTTTTCTTCTTCCAGCTGGAATCTTGAAAGTTACGTGACTAGGACGTAAAACAATAGAAAACGTATAGGCAGAAGAAACGTAACAGTACCACAAAAAAAAATGGCCATTAAGGTACCTCCACTACGTTTTGCAGTGTGGACCAACGTAGTGGGGGTACATTTTCCCATGAGACTGGGTTGTACATGAACTGCATGGTTTTGGAGGGTGATATAGATAAAAGCACATTTCAATGATAGTACAGAACAAGTAGCTGGTGCATAATATATTGGTTGTGGATTTTCTCTGGATTAAAGCTGGATTAATTTGGATAAATATCACCAAGTAGTGAAGAAACGACATGCCTCTTGAGCTTCATATCTGAACTTGAACTTAGAAAGAGTTTATATTGGTTAGTGTTTCCTGGTTCCAGCTTTCAATTGTCCAGCTGCTGATTTGCAAATGATCTGCCTCCTTCACTTTTTAACCTACTTTGTACCCCATTAGGGAGTGAAGCAGCTTCACAGCATAATGTTTGTTTTTTCACTAGTTTCCACTCTGTTCTTATGGCATGTGGTACTCATTTCAATTATAAAAAAAACAACTTAATAATCCTAAATGTCCCAAAAAGGACAAGCAATAGCTTGATTTTGACTTGTTTTTTGATTGACACCATCTCAATCCGTATTAATGTTAAACCTACTGCACTGCCATTGACTCTGATGCACTATAGAGTGCACCTCACTATAAGCCGCGCTAACTTTTTTAGAAAAAACTTGGAAACATACATACTCTATATAAGCCAGACCGGGATATAAACCACTGATATCTATTGAACTGTCCCCCACCAAACCTGTAGGGGGAGCTCTACGTATTGTCCCTAGAGTAGGGACGAAGAATAATGCTAGCTCCTGTTAGCTTGTTTGCAGTGTTGCCAACTCAGCGACTTTGCCGCTATATTTAGCGACTTTTCAGACCCCTCAGAGCAGTCTTTTTCAAAAAAGCGACCAAAAGCGTTCCTACTCTTGTCCTCCAGCGGCAGGTGCTGCCGTGGGGCGCCTCCCCCGTCCCAACCCTGTTCTCCCGCTTCCGCAGGAGTCCCTCTGAGCGCTGCACTCAGAGCCGAAGCATGTTTACCCTCAGCGTCCAGACTGCAAATGAACGGCAATTGATGGCGCAGGTTGATCACGCTGGAGTCCGTCCCCTCAGTTGCTGAACCTGCCATAGAGAAACTTGACCAACATGACAATGAGCAGGCAAGCACAGCCTGTGTGTGGAGGGTAATCTTATTGGTTTAAAAATATTAATAATAACTATTACCATTATTTGCTCACATTGTCATTGATTCTTTCTAGTCTTTTTTGTTCCATTTAGATTTTTAATGTAATGTAAAAAACTCTATGGTTCAAAATGTTCATGTTTTACCATGATTTTTAGGCTCCTTAGTGGACCACAAGGGAAAAAAAAAAAAAAAAAGTTGAAAAAAATACATAAATTGTAACTCCGCCATAGTGTCTCTTTATAGTTCATTTTGACAGACCCAAACTCGGGTAGGAGGAAGGTTATTGTAGTAAAATAAAAAATAAAAAAATAAAATAAAATAATTAAATAAAATAAATAAATAAACATGAACGGACAGAAAAAGTAGCTCTATATATTCTGAGTGTTTTTACTCACTTTGTATCTCTGTAACATATATTTCTCCCACAGCGCCAATAACATGCACATCACATCATGTGGCAGATTATGCAAATTAGGCACTGACGTCATTCAGCGACTTCTAGCACAGCCAATAGCTTCTTTCCTTACTGAGGAGTTGGCAACACTGCTTGTTGGCTAATAGTGTCACTACCCAATCTGTCCCAGAAGCACGATCCGTTCTGCACATGCGCGAATAGATACAAATCCGGGTGTCCATAAATAATGTAATTATGGTACTAAAACTACTTATTTCTATCCTTAACTCACTAAAGAATAGTAATACACAAAAAATGTTTTATGACTTTTGTGAGACAATGTTTATGCTTTTTACATTAAATTCGTTAAACTGCTTCTCTGACGTCATCTTTAGACATGCTCAGAGTAGTCCATCTAAATATTATTAAACCATGTTTATCCGCATTTTAGTTGTTTCTTTCTTTAGATTAAGCATAATACAGCATAAGGGTAAAACAAAACAAAAACATAAAACTCAAAAAGACTAGATTCATGTTTAAATCCAAAGCCGAAAAAGTTAGCCACCGGAAGTAGCGTAGGATCCCATTTCCGGTGCACGTTGGGTTGAGGCAAGAGATAAAACAGAAAGGATTTTAAGGCCTCTTTTTTTGTCAGGAATTTCATTTTTATCCTTTAACACATTATATTTTAGTATGTTTACAATTTTTTTTTGGGAGGGGGACGTCATTTAAGCATTTTTAACAAAATAAAATCAAGGACGACCCGGATGTATATCTAGATGATTATGCGTAAATGAGCTGATGCCGCATTTTCAAATTTGACTTCTCCCTCCTGCGGTTAGGAAAAATCCACAGAAGAGCTGCACCTTCTTATGAACCACATGGTTCAAAACATCACACAAACCTAGTAGCTTATAGTCCGGAAAATACGGTAATCTTGTCCCACCCAGCTAACATTAAGCAATTGTGATAAAGTAACTATGATTAATTAGATACAAAAAAAATGGTTACATTATTTTAAAAAGTGTGCAATCTGGTTGGTTCAGGACTATTCATGAAATATTACTACCAGTTACTGTTTTCAGGGGGTAAAGGATGCACTCAACACAGTTGGATTCTCTACAAAAAATGACTTCAAAACGATAACCAGATTTAAAATGGAAGAAACAAGGGAACATTAAAGCTTTTAGTTTAAGTCTGACACCAATATTTTTGAGAAATATACAGACTATGGTCTGGTTCCAGTGACCAAACCATAAATAAGCCTCACAAATAAACTATCTGTCAAGAGGAGTGGTCAAATATTTAACTGGAATTATGAGAAAAGATTTCTGCATTGTGTGAATGGACAGCTTGCTAAATACTTCCAAATATAGCGGATTGAGTCCGTTTAATTTAGGAAAAAATGAAGAGCAAATTTAAGTTGAGGACCTGAAGAGTATCAATAGTGTGTTTGATAAAGAACTGAACTTTTACAGAAGGTGTTTTTTGTTGTTTGTTTTCCTAGCATGGCTGTGTTACTCACTCAAGTTATAACAGTGAGTCAGTTCTTGGTTTGTAACTGGATCTGGATCCCGCTCTGAATGCAGAGAAGTGGAGAAAAAGTGACAAAGGTGTGATTAGATACCCCCCACCCCAAATTCACACTGCTTGTTTGTTGGCAGATGGCTCTTTTGTCAGACTAATTTGTTCAACAGAATAACCAGGTTGATAATTACCTGCTGCTTTTGAGGCTGTTCAGCTATTGTTGTGTTAAAAAATATCATATACTTAAAATTGAAGAAACATTTCAGCAACCATATGTTTTTTTTTTTTTTTTTATTAACACGTGGGTTGGGACACACTGGCATATAGAATTAAGCCATACTAAGCAAAGCTTCAATGCAAATCAATCTTTTTCCAGCTTAGGCCAATTTTGAATATATAAAAACAACCATGCCTTCTTTTACTAGATCTACCTGAATGGCTCCCTTGCATCAGATTAGGCCCCCACTCATCAGGGACGCAAATAAACATGATAGGGTATTAAGAGTCTTGAGCGGAAAGGGGTGTGACGTGGGTGTTCGGTTTCATGTCAAACCACCTGGTGAAGGGGCTCTTAAGGCGCGCAGGATTAGAGTGCCAACGCACCACAGACTTCACTCTCTGAAAGAGGCCTCCAAGACAAGTCCGTGTTGATTTTTGGAGAGATTTCAGCAGAGAAATCTGTATGGAGAGCAGAATCAGGCCGCTCGCCATGGCAGGACATCCCGCCAGCCCGTTGGGAGGCCTCCCGATGTCCCCTTCCCTCTTGCGCCACCCACCTCTCTTTCTCCGTGCCTGTAACCCCGCGCTGGAGAGGGGCTACCCGAGGACCCCGAAGTGCGCCCGTTGCAGGAACCACGGGGTAGTCTCGGCGCTGAAGGGCCACAAGCGATTCTGCAGATGGAGAGACTGCGTGTGCGCAAAGTGCACCCTGATCGCGGAGCGGCAGCGGGTGATGGCGGCGCAGGTGGCGCTCCGGAGGCAGCAGGCGCAGGAGGAGAACGATGCGAGGGAGATCCGGCTCCTGTACCCGCCCACGGGCATCGAAGGGCAGCCGGGGATCAGCCAGGGGTCGGCTGTAGGGCGAGGGGTGCCAGCAGCGAGCTGCAACACTCCACCAGCTCCAAGCTTTGACGTTTTTGGTGCTCAAAACTATAAAGGCGGTGAGTTTTAATCAATTTTCATGGTTTATCAGACATTTATGAGTAGGTTATATATAGGTTTATATGATTAGAAATGGATTGCAAATGAATGCGTAAAGTAAATTCACATTAAGGCTTTTACGCATGAAATGACGCACACCAGTCCAAGGTGTTCTGAGGCCCCAAGCCTCTTTTTTTGTTTTTTGGTTTTGGGATAAATAGATACTTCTTTTGCATCTACTTAGGCATGCATATTTAGTTACTTAAATACAAATGTTTAATGTCATACCCTGCTAACATGGAAAAAATGTTTTTAAAGTATAAGCTAAAAATGTTAAAGTAGATGCACCAAATGCATGATTTTTTTTTCAGCGGGCATTCCAGGATATGATTATTTCTCTGCAGATAGTAAACAGAAAATGAAAATAAGAGAGGATGGAGGCATCTAATATTTCTATTTTGTTCACAAGAAACAGCTTTCTCATCTACATGCATTTTGATTTATATAATCATAACAGAACTTATGTACCAGTAACAGGAGGTAATAATTTAAATGTGAATGTCAATGATATATATTTTTTTAAAGTTCTGTTTATTGTTCTCTGTAAACCCCAAAGTATTTACATCCTCTGTGCTGCAGTAACCTTCATAAACCTCCCCCTTTTCTCTATGTTTCAGATGAGAAAGTGAGCAAATACAGCATTTACAGCGGATTTCTGGGTCAGCCGCTCTTTGCTTCCCAGAATGCTCGAGTTCTCTCCCCAGTTGACAGGAAGGAGGCGTCTCCCAGCAAGGATAACAGCTCCTCGCTTGCCAGCGATTGTGGGAGTCCATCACCGCCGTCTGACCGGCTGTCTGATCACGCTCAGAGTCCGCAGAGGTCGCTTCCCTCCTCTGATCCCGAGTCTGGGAGCGAGTCTGAGAAACCCAAGGAGTTGTCACACCTGGACCGTGACCCTGCTGACTTCATGGCCAAGATCTTCCCTCATCAGAAAAGGGACACCCTGGAATCCATGGTGAGAAATTGTACAGGAGACATTGTGAAATCCATTGAGTTGGTTCTGAACGCTAAGGAGAAAAAAAATGAATCTGGCAGTGCATCCCTGCCCCGTCTGCATGGCTCAGTGCTCAAGCCTGCTGTTGGACTGTCAGGAGCGCTAAGTTCTTCAGGAACCAAGTCTGCTTTCTCCCCCCTACACATCCACCCAGCCCCCAGTGGGGACGGCCTGTACGGGCTAAGTCCTCGCCTCGGTGTGAGTCCTCTACAGCTGGCCTATTCCTCTGCCAGCACCGGTCTGGGCGGCCTCATGTCTCCATACATGACTTCAGGTTTTATGCCACTGTTGACCCTGCGTCCACCTTTGGACTCACATTCTTTCCCAGGAATGATCAGAGACTTTTCTTACGTCCAGAGTAAGGATTCTCTGTGCAGTACAACAGGCCTTTACACACGACTGAACAGTGACAAATAATGTACTTCATATTGTATAACATGACAAATGTTGTTTTTGTTTCAATTTCATTTTTAAAGCTGAATAATGCAAATTAATTCTTACATGTGATTTTTTTTATTGACAATTCTGTATAGAAATGGCTTCAATGTAATAAAGTTCTTTTGTAATATGTTTCTGAATCTATTTATCGTTACGCCAAAACTTCAATTTTTGAATAATGTTCATATACTTTAAGATTTCCCAAAGCTTTTAAAAGTTGTACATTAGAAGGATAACTTTACATACCTGTTTCATTATAAAAACCTCATATATGTTGAATGCATTTTCATTCCACCTCTGCTCATTAACTTTGTAGAAAAAACTTTTACCCAATAACAGCTGCCAGCCTTGCACATCTAGAGACTCGTTTTCTGGCAATATTGAAAAAGCTTATTCTAAAAAAGATATCTGAACATATTTTTTATTTTGCTTGTCCAACAGATTGCTAGATAGAGGTTATAACTCTCATTTAAGCTTGTGCCTTACAATATGTGAAACATCTTCCAAGCTATTGAAGGTGCCCTATACTCTATTATAAACTCCCTCCCCCAAAGCTGCTAGCTGTTTTTTTATGTGTATTCTTTGTTATATTAGATTGCAGTAGTAGTTTACAAAGGTCAGGAGGTAAATAATTTGCCTGTATTTTATCCTTTCCCAAATATGCCATTTAGGGACTCATTATATCTGCGAAGTACCACAAATCTGTCAAACCATCATAAGGAATCCATCATAAAGTCAACAGATTTCATCATCTAAAGTGCACACTTTCTTTGTAAAAAATAATCTGCAAAACAACGTTTAACTTTCCTTCCATTTTTAAATTACTGATTTAGGTTGACTTAGTCTACATAAAACCACTTTTAAGTTTGTGATCTTGATGTCAAAAAATGTATACTCTAATGGGGTGACCTCACTTTTAAGGCAGCGTAAAAAGACTAGATGACATTTGTTTTTGTTTTTCTTTACCCAGTTTTATTGATTTGTCACATGAAAAAAACAAACAAAACAAAACAAAAGAAACAGATCTACATTCTTACTTAATAGTTATCAAAATAAACCAGCAGGTGAGTTTTAATAAAAATATCGAGTTCAATGAAAGGAGGAGGAAGAAAAAACAGGAGTAAATTGTGTAATACTTTCTGTAGCTGTGAAATTAAAATCGAGTTTAAATATTTTTTTGTAGCATTTTTTCTATTTTTTGTGGAATATTATTATTTTTCTTTCCCAGCATCTCCTCCTGCGGCGTTTCTCATCCCGGATTGGTCCAATTCCTACCCTTTCGACCAATAGAAAGCCTTGGAAGTGTGACGTATCGATATGTTTCAGGAAGTTGCAACATGGAGGGTTTAAACGCAGGTTGTGCATCCCGAGTTTGAAACATCCTTGAGCGGGATTTTAATGAGGACTTTCTGACAGCAGGCGGTGAACATTTCTATCCTCTGAGATGCGTCTCCACGTCATCACCGCAGCTTTTCTCTGGGCTGCGTTTGTGGACTCGAGGAAAATCAGAGGAATATCTTCATCTTGTGAGTTCAGGTCATCGATTTAGCTACAATCCAGCCCGCTGAAATCATTTTCATCACACTGACACGCTTTCAATCCGAATATGTACTCGTTTTAACACCATTAAATGTGTCAATTACAGAAAATATATAATTTACTGTCATAAATGTCAACATATGACGTTAGGTGACTATATGCATTGCTTTATGTGTTTATATTTTTAGCTGAGGTTCATTTATTTTTACAGATAAAAGGTTCTACAGGGAGAGGAAGTCCTTTTTGTGCATAGATGGGTCAAGAATGATCCCCTTCGAGCAAGTGAACGACGATTACTGCGACTGCGCAGACGGCTCTGATGAACCAGGTAAACAACAGGAGGCATTATTTAGATTGGAGGACTGTGCAGCTTCCAGCTGCAGGGACAGGAGTTTGACTTTGACAAAGTTTCAAAATCAAAATTAAAAATAATTTAAAATAGTAAAAATATTAAAGTTTTTTTTAATTCTTGCATTTTGTTTCAATTCAATTTCGATTAAATTCAGTTTATTTCTATAGCGCCAATTCACAACACATGTCATCTCAAGGCACTTTACAGTTCACCAGATCATACAGTCAAATTGATTCAAAGTTTTCTATCTAAGGAATCTATCTATCTTGTAGCGACAGTGGAGAGGAAAAACTCCCTTTTAACAGGACGAAACCTCCAGCAGAACCAGGCTCAGTGTGAGCGGCCATCTGCCAAGTCCGACTAGGGTTCAAGGAGACAGAAGCAGACATACAGAAAGCAAAAATAAAAGGCGGCCCCATCCAGGAAACACACTTCCAGGCAGACAAGCTCTGAGACAACTCCCATGTCAGAGGACGAAGAGAGCACATCCAGCAAGTGATCACACACTTGTTTGGCAACTTCTTTCTCAAGAATTTTAGATAAGCTTGACATGGTTTTGTCAAGCTGCTGCCTAACTTTGTGAGGCAGGAAAAGAGATGAAGAGGATGAAGAGCGCACATCCAGTCAGTCACAGTCAGAGAAACAGGACTACACTGAAATACAGGCCGATCTCCAACATCCATAAACAAAGTTGTTGATGGCAGCAGCACAGCTGATATTTCCTTCCACGGTGGTGTCACAGCTCCTTTAATTTAGATGAATAATGTTTTCACCAGCTGCTTTGGATATTTAACCAGCATGAGGCTTAAAGGTAACTACATACTGAAATAGCTATTGAAATAAAGCTAATTATTTGACACTACGTTTATATTCCCTTAGGTTTGTTTGATACACCTACAGTTGTGTTTAAAAGTTTACATACCCTTCCATTAAAGACAGGAAAAAAATAAGAGTCCAGTAAAGTAAGTTTAAATTGACAGAAGTAATAAATAAAAATGATAAAAAATAAAAATCATGTAATATATATATATATATATATATATATATATATATATATATATATATATATATAGAATAGAAAAACTCCTTCGTTGTTTAGATATGCACAATATTTTTCTAATAATCACCAGTATCAGAACTAAAATTAAGATACATTATTGTTTGTAAAGCTACACTTTTCAATACCCCCATAGATGCCTAGTAAACAGTTTATAGATCGGTTAGTATATTAATCTGTAAACATATTTTATCTCAGTCAAAAGTATTATTATGCATTGAATATAAAATTCTGTTGTGCAAATATTTGTGCTTACAAGGTGGTAAATTGGACTGAATTGTTGAGTGTAAGCAGTTCTTAATAAAAGCTATAGTTGAACAGTTTAGACTCCCTATTTAGCAAGAAAATGCTCAGTTTGTCTTTATTTCCCCCTAATAATGCATAATAAAGACTAATGAATTAGTTGCACTGTTTATTGATATATTAATAACACATCCCTAAACTCTTTTTAACCATCTATGGGAAATATTTTCTAGAAAAAGAAAAAAAAAAACCCAGCTTCTAAGCATGGTGATGTTGTATTTCATGCCAAGGTTGCCACTCACAAGATGGCAGATGTCCCTGGGCAGACAAAGCAAAGAAAAAGGTTAAAAGCCTGGAAAAACTAGTTTGAGGCAGAACTCTAACAGAATCTATAAAAACTCTAGCTCATATTTTCTGCCCTCTTTTTCTAATATCACAGAAGAAAAAAAAAGTTAGGAATCAAATTGAACACTGAAGTTCACAGAGACAAAGGTTCAGAAATATGAATCTTGGGCTTAATTTAGATGCATCAAATTGGTAAGATCAGCATATTTGTGTTCATTCATTAATTTTACTGCTTTGAGGATGTCTAATTGTACACTTAATAATAGGAATATATTTCTTTGACAATAAATGGGTAGATATGTTTAAAGTTGAGACTAATTCCTTCCACATTTGTTTAAATTAACATAGAGTTCCATACATGCTGTTTTCTGATGTTTAGAAATATTTCCATCAGAGTAACCTCCACATTTTTCCATCATCAAGGGCCTGCTGTTATTCTGGGTAAATCTTTGTTTCTGGGGTTGAAACAAATAATTGGATTAATGCTGATTAATTGAGTAATTAATTAATTGTTAAATGGAGTATAGAGACTCTAAAACATGCATTTAGTTGACAGAGTGACCCACTTAGAGCAGTAATTATATTGGAATAGAAATAAAATGTTTAAGCATTTTGCATTCAAGATTAAAATAACTTTCTTTTGTTTCAATACGTTCTATCCAGAATGTCTCAAGTGGAAGGGTTTGTTTCACCTGGTTTAATTTCATAAAAAAGTCTTATTTAAGGAACCTGGCTATCCGATTATTCATCAAATAACCAAAAAAATTGAAAACAGATTAATTGATTTGCAAAAATATCTTTAGTAGTTTCCTTTTCTTGTCAGAATTGCTGGAAGTTATTCCAACTAATCATTTTTATCTGTTTTTTAATGTGTATATGTTCAGCGACCTGTAAGGGACCAGTACTACTATCCATACAGTCCCTCAGTCTCATACTTCTGCATCCATGCTTTACAGTTGTTAGATTTCTTAGGTTGAAGATTTTCACTTTTTTTCTCTCTTCTTATTGCAACCAAATTTAAATTAATTCCAAAAAGCTTCTCTACTCATTTAAACTTCAGCTGATCATGGAGGGGGTTGTTTTAAAGTATGCACCTCCTCCATATCAGTCATTGGATTTGATATTTTCAGCTCATGTTTGGTTTAAATTCAGTGATTCTTGGCTTGATTTTTCAGACTGATCCATATCCTTTTGTCTGTGGTGACACCGTGGAGTGAAGCCTGACAAATATGGCGCTCCAAGAGGACGATATCCCTCTCTCATCTCTAAACCTTTTTGGGGATCTAAGGAGAGCCAAAACATCTCTTTTAAGATGGTCCTAACCTGTAACAAATCGATTATGCCAGGGCTTTATTAATTGCATTAAAAACTGTTTTTAATTTCTCTGCAACTTGTACAGCAATGTTCTTCCAAATGCACTACAGCCGTTTGTTGGATCATCATTCCACTCTGTGGAAACAATGGGTTCAGTTCATGCAGGTTGAAGGGATTATGTGGACTCTATACTGTTTTTTCTATATGTAAATATAAGAAAATCAACGAAGGCGTATGATGAACATTACTTGATATTACTATGTAAAAATATTGGATTCTGCTTAAACTCGCTTTTCCTCTTTCAAAATCTATCCTCTAATGATAATATAGGATGAGGACATGAACCCTATGGAAATGTTTTACCTTTTTTATGATGAGCTGACTTTTTGAATGCAATGTTTGTGTATTTAAGAAAATTAAAAGATAATTTTCTCTGATTTAAAGAAAGAAAAAAAGAGAAATCAGTTTAAAGCTTTTGCTTCAATTTAAAAAGTTTTCTGTAAATGGGCTCTGAGGCATGTGGTCTCCTGATAGGGTCGTTAATAAACTGTGCCATTGCTGGCATCAGTGTAAGTACTATAATAACCCTCTTTCACCGCTAAGCACAGGGGGAGAGGAACAAGTAGGAGGTTAATGATGCCAAACCGAGCTCGTGTTGAGTGTGCCTATATCATCAGCCCTGCAGAGTGCTGGAGTTTTACATCAGCTAAAGACTAGTCAAATAAGCCATAGTAAAGGTGATGCTTCAATAGACCTTTGCATCGATAACATATAACTGTGACCGTTTTATTTCATAAATGTATTCCATATTCAAAATAAGGTTGGAATTAGTTTAGAATTTGCATCCAAACCAGGCGTAAAGGTCAGATTATTCCACAGAAATATATTTTTAACTTTACAGAGTTGGTAGGAACAGTATCAGACTGTTGCCTTTGTTGAAAAGATGGAAGGAAAGATTCAAGTATAAATCAAAAATAGATATAAACGGCAAGAAAAAGGAAGAGAAACACACGTATGTAAAGCTTGATGGGCATGCAAATACCATGGAAAATAAAGGTACAGCCCTCGCACACTTCTGCTTCTGTTTAAAATGTTAATAGGTCCTTAAGATGAGTTGATCTTTTATTACTGTAGCTGTATAGTCCATGCTTTATTTATATAAAAATAAAAAATGTGTTTTTTAATTTTCTGCAAGGAAGAAAATGCCATGTGCAGAAATAATTTCTCTTTACAAAAAGGACCTTTTTCAGTCGATCAGTCCACAGGACTCCCCTTTTCTGATCATAATCCTGACCTAACAGAGCATTATTTCTCCCAATCACTGCTTAAAATGAGAAATGTAGCAAATTTTGCAAATGTTATTTATTTTTACTAGCCAGATTCCATAAACAGTACCATATACAGTTGCAGCAATTATCCAATCCAATTGTATTTGTTAAGCACTTAAAAACAACCACAGCTGACCAAAGTGCTGTACAGAAAAAGTAAATAAAGCAAGAAAACAAAACATAAAACAGTACAGATAAAGTAAACAGCTAAAACATGGGTAAAAATAACATTCACATGATAAAATCAATAAAATTGGGTAAAAGATAAAAGAAACAAAAGGAAAAAATGGGTGTTAAGAGCCAAAGAGAAAAGGTGGGTTTTGACTAGAGATTTAAAAAAGAGTCAGAGTCCTGTCTGTTATCAAATACAATTATAGTAAACAACTGGTTTTTTGACATAGAGCAATGACTAGAAACTGGAATAAATTTTTCCCTGAGGGCAATAAAGGATGCAGAAGCAAACCCTGCATGTGGACATCACTCATTCTCCATAGCAACCATTAGATGTTTTCATGCTTGATGTTATGCTAAATTGAACTGCACTGTACTTATTGATCTGATTACATGTAAGTTGAGCTTTTTTTTTTTCATTTTGTTGCAAGAAACATTCATGTAGAAATGGTGGAAAGCAATAAAAATGAAAATTTTGTTGTTTATGGTCTGAATCTGTCAGACTGTTGGCTTGTTTTTGTCCAGATGCTTTGGAATAATAGAATTTGGTCTGTCCAACACATTTAGTCTTTTTTTAATGCTTAACTTTGTTCCTACACCCAAATCTATTAAATATCTGTTCTTAAAGTAGATGTTCCTTTATTGTTCAGGCCTAAAATGAGGAAGCCACTGCATTAAAGGAGTATCGTATTTAGGATTAATTGATAAATTTTAAATGTTTGCCGTTTTAATGTTCTTATCTGACCTCTTTATCTGGCTCCAAACAGGTACCTCAGCATGTCCTCGTGGTCGATTCTACTGCACCAACCTTGGTTTTAGGCCGCACTACATCCCATCATCAAGAGTCAATGATGGCATCTGCGGTAAGGCTTTAACTTTACGTCAAGTCGTACCGGTTAGGGATATAAAATAATTCTATATAATGGACTATAAGCTGCTACTTTTTCCCCAAGGCTTTGAACCATGGGGCTTAAAAGAAGTTGCCGCTTTTCTGTGGCTTTTTTCTAACCGTCAGAGAGGGAAGTCAAAGTTGAATAAGGGGCTAATTTTCATTTAGCACTAGAACATGCAATCAGCAGGGATGACTGGGAGCAAATATCCCGAATTCACACATTTTGACATTTATTTGCTGCATTAAAGCTGCCGAACCAATGAAGAAACCCTACTCCAGGGGCTATATGTAGAGCTCCCCCTAGAGGTTTGGTGGGAGACAGTTCAGTAGATATCAGCAGCTTATAGCCCAATACGGTTACTACTGATCCGTCCCGGAAGCATGATCCGTTCTGCGCATGCGCCATTAGCTCATTTACGCAGGCGCATCCAGATATACTTCTGGGGTCGTCCTCGATTTTATTTTGTTAAAAATACCTAAATTATGTTTTCCCTTCCCAAAAATAATAAATGTACTAAAATATGATGTGTTAAATGTTAATAATGTATTTCTTGAGAAAATAAATGCTTTAAAATCCTTTCTTTTATCAGTCGTCTCTGCCCGATCTGCTACTTCCGAGAGCTAACTTTTTCAGCTTTGGATTTAAACATAGATCTAGTGTTATTGAGTTTTATGTTTTGGTTTCGTTTTTAACCTTATGCTATATAGCGCGTAATCTAAAGAAAGAAACAACTAAAATAAAGATAAACATGGTTTAATCATATTTCACCGGACTGCTCTGAGCATGTCTGAAGATGATGTCAGAGAAGCAGTTTAATGAAGAAAATGTAGAGCGCATAAAAGTCATAAAACATTTTTTACAGATGTGTATTACTATTCTTTAGTGAGTTAAGGATAGAAATAAGTAGTTTTAGTACCATAATTGCATTATTTATGAACACCTGGATATATATCTGTTCGCACATGCGCAGAATGGATTGTTCTGCCGGGACGGATCGGGTAGTGACACAGCTTATGCAAGTTTCCTGTTTCTTCAAAAAAATGTAATAGGCGTGGCTTATAGTCAGGTGCTCTATATTCTGGAAAATACGGTACTCTGATTAGAAGCAATGTTTTTACTCAGCAACAGTTTTTTAGGCTTCAAAAGAATAATTACTAGACATATTCACGTGAAATTAAACAACCTAGTTGTATGAATTATTAGATTTTATCATGTAAAAGTGTATCCACTTAGTTTCGTTCTCATAATGGCTTCGGCAAACATGGAAAAACAGCTATGTCTTGTTTTCTATGACGGAAAGAGCAAAATAATCCTGCTAATCCCTGGTTTTTTCCACTCAAATGTATTCCTTATTGCTACTTAAAGCCTGAATACCATACTTTATTATAATGGATGGTTTGTTACCACATTTCTTTAATGCTTTTCTTATTTAGGACAAAAGCAGAGGAGCGTTTATGTGATCATAGAAATAGTAAGACAACATGAAGCTTAAAGGAAAAATACAAAGGACACATTTCCTCAAGCCTTTTCACCCTTACCACTTTAATTTCACTCTCCTTTCCACTTGTCTTTTCATTCCATCGCTATACACACCACACCCATTTAAAAACCAAACCAAACGTAACAACTTTTCTTCTTCTCATCTGTAATTCAGATAATTTGCATTACCGCTTCTCTTGGTATTAAAGGTTTATATTCTGATGGGGACTGATGGGCTTCTGGGTACATGTGAGAGCCAAACTACCTGGTGAAAGGTCACATTTACTTTGATCTAAAAAATAAAAATAAGAAGACTTTCAATTCGTAAACCAAAGATAAAAACTGCATTTTCCACCTTCCTTACAGCTGCTATCATCTACTAATACGTTCTGTTAATATAATACCAAAGTCAATATGGTGCATAAATACAAAGTCGTGTAGTGCAGGTAACGGCTAGAATTTATTTTTGATCTCACTGTTTGATTTTAGAAATACTTAGACTTAAGGGCAGATTAGATTTCTGCAGCCGCACACATCAAATGTCGCTTACGTCTGGTCGTGAACCAGTTTTGCTGGTATGCTTCTGCACCGTCGGTCTTGAATTTCTAGGGATGCACAGCAGTTTCCCGTCCAAGAACTTCCCGTTTCGAGAACTTCGGTGGATGGTCATGAGTGTTTATCTTCCAAAACAACAATCGTCCGTCTGCAAGATATCACGGAGATGGATCTAGAGTTGCTAGACATCGAAGAGGAACAGGTTCCGGCTGATCTCCCTGCAGGAGTTGGAAGAGACCTTGGCATCTTTATATAATTCATCTGAGGCATTGTACAAGTGGTATCACTTCAGCCTTTCGTCGTAGTTGTCCATTGTGGTTGTTCATTGTTTTTTTAAAAATGGCGCGCCCCGGCACCGAATCCAGAAGAACGACCACACAGACAGCCGGAAAGGCATACCAAGGACCAACCACAGCTGCTTTCTGTCTGCGCACTTCTGCTTGAGGTCTGCGCGGAATTGCGACCGTCCGACGTTTAGTCAGGATTTTCTTGAGGTGCGCGACGACGGTTGCAGAACCTCTGGGGGGCGTGGTCGCGCACAGAGATAGATTTGATGGATGCAGAGGCTATGCGTCAGAAGCATAAATTGTCCTTTAGACTCAACTTTATTTATCCCTTAGGATTCACTCCTTCAGGGAAAGTCTGGGTCCAGTACCTTATATAGAGTACAAAGAGTTAAAGCAAGATGCTGTTAAAGATCAAAATGCACCAGACAATATAAAAGGAGTGTATAAAGTACAAAAACGCATTGAAAAAAGAAAAAAGTTGTAATGTCCTGGAATATGTTTCCCTTAGATAAAAAAAATCTGCACAGTAGAGAGCTAAGGGAAGACTGCATGGTATTTGACGTGGATTATTGCACTTGCACTGCAGAGATCGGACTGGATCAGATAGAAAAGAATCAATTCTAAATCGTAAGAGTCAGAACAGATTCTTGAAATTTTAAGCGATACTGAGGCCCTACATAATACCGGTTTTAAGATGCTTTCCATCAGCCAAGATAAGATACTTTTGATGGCTCTTGTTTAGGAGAAGCTTGGCATAAATAATATAACAGTTCACAACCTAACCTTTTTCTGCCACAGTTTTTCCTTCCAATTAACTTTCATTTATACGCTTGTGTACAGCACTCGGCACAGCTTCTTTATATGTTTAGTAACTCTCAACTTTCTCATGTTTTTACTATTAAAGTAACAGTCTTTCCCACGTTTGCATGACCACCAAAGTTGTTATTATTATTTTATTGAATTTTTTTGTTATTAGCTATAATCATCAATAAGAGCAGAAATAATAGTTAGAAATGTCTCCCTCCATGTTATCTACTTATTTATTTATTTATTTAAGGGTTCTCTTAAACTTAAGTACTGACCTAAAATTTGAATTATAATGTAATAATAATTATAAAAATTTTTTGAAATTTAGTATTAGGCAATGGTGCATAGTGCTCAAAAGCCTATTTATAATTAACTTACCTTTTCAATCTTTTTATTACCTGTCCAGTAGTCTAGTGACTCAATTTAACAGAAAAATAAATAACTTTTAGCTTTTTTCATTTTTGCTTTTTTTTGGAATGTCTGTATAAAGTTTGCTTTACAGAATCAAAGTAAGTATATTCTTCCTAAGGCGTATTTATCAGACTTGAAAGGCTTTTTTCTTTTTTTTGTATGGATCATATTGATTTAACAGCTGTAGACCTTTTTTAGACGGAGTTGCATGAATTTATCTGGATGGATTTATTTGGGTTTTCCTTTGTTTGAAATGTTTTACTGTGCGTACATTCATCATCACTTAACAGCATGATGAATTCATGTCGAAAGACTGCAGCTGATAGAACAGCAAAGATTGCAGCTCATAGATCAGTTTTCTATATCGGTAAGAACTTCAAGGTTAACGGGAAGGAAATGAGCCCCATGCTGAAGACTGTTGAAGTAGAAAGCTGTTTGTACATAAGTGTGTTGCCATCAGTGCAGAGCATGCAGAGCTGTCTGTTGCGTGTTCATCCACATGCACAGAAAAACAAAGAATTTGTTCACTGGCATTTACATGAGAGGCAGCAATGAAGCAATGTCCAAAACGGCCGCCATTAGACAGGTTAAAGCCTTTTAACCCTTTATTGGGCAAGTTACTGTTTTTGATCACTTGCATACTCCTTACAAATGGAGTCCCGTCTGTCCCTCAGAGATGTCTAGAAGCACAAGATCAATATCCAGCAAATATACTGATACGTGGCTGCATATCTTATTTTGGCATTTGACCAATAAAATGAGCCCTTGAATTATATATGACTTACTGTACATTAAGTTGAAAAATAAGTTAACAAAAAAAAGGTAAAAAGCTAATTGAAAAGTGAAAAAGTAAAGTTTGAAAGGTAATAAGCCTGTTTAACATCATATTTAGGTTTATAAACTAAAAAATGTAAGTGCCAGTATCAGCATTAATGCCTCTAATTATGCTGTACCAAAAATGTGTTTGTTTTTCTCTCAGAGTGCTTTTCATTAATTTCTTAAAGAAGCACTTTTGTTATTTTTCTTAATTTATTCAGGGAAAGTTGGATTTCCTTGTTATTACATTGTTTACACATTATTTTTTGCCATCAAAATATCATTTTTTTTATGTTACAAAGGTAATAAGGTCTTGTCCTGGATTCCAATAACACTGTTGGCTTGAAATTTAGATTTTCTAAGTATTTCCCTGAGTGCCCTACAAAGGGTTAACTGAATTTTTTTGAAATCATTATTATTATAATTTAATCTATTTTTGTGATCTTTATCCTATTTTATATGTTTTTAATCTTTGCTATCAGGTAGGTGAATGTCCCCTATCGGGGATTAATAAAGTAACTATCCATCCTTCCGTCCAACTTAATCTTTTAATATAAGTATTTAATTTTTTATAACGTTATGCTTTCTGTCTCAAATAAAATAAAAAACATAAATATGTTACCTGGAAGGTAGTAAGGATTAGAATAAATACAAAATAATAGCATATTATAAACCTTTATTTATAAAACTGGAGCTCCTCTGAGTAACTCCCTTATAATCACATTTAAACTTGATGAATTGGGAACAAAATACAAAAGAAAAATTATAGTCCGACTGACTTAATAGTTTTACTTTGTTTTCATCAAGACACCTTAGCTGCTCTGATGAGCTGCGATAGCTCAGTGTGAAAAAAAAAAACAGCAGGCTGTTCTCTACATCCAGTCTGTTCCTCTGCTTGGTTTGGATGTATGTCACAGCTGAAGGTGAACTCAAACATGTAAGAAAAACTTACTTTTTGGTTGATAAAAGCTTTTTTATCTTTTCAATTGGGTCTTCAAAAAGCAAAACCGAACCCAGCCCTACTTTATTTCACTACATAAGAAATAAAATATTTTCATGTACTGTACCCGTTGCAACTCACTCGTGGACCAATAAGGGTACGAGTACCCGCTGTTGGGAAACGCTGCTTTTATGGACTGCAGTAAACCAGGAACATGTTCTGAAGGCTGAAGAACTAAGTTAGATCTTAGAATGACATCATTAATCAGGTTCATTATTTAGCACTATAAACTAATCAGGATGTTTTTTTTACATTTTGAACTTACAAACACTGTAGTGACCTGCTTAACAAATTAGTTTCTATAGTTTTGTGTGTGATGGATTTAATTTGATAAAAAAATATTTAAAATGAGATGGACATGTTTTCTTTATTGTAGGGCAGCCATGTTGGATTTTTGAGGTTAGGATCATAAAATCTCTGATTTGTCTCCTTAAAGTTCTGGATCCTTTGGGACCAGTCCTTTAATTTTATTTGTATTTACATTTTTAAAAGCATCATTGAGCAAATTGGAGAAGTAATTAAGTAAAAAGTATTATTAGTTTGTAAATATTGATACAGCCAATAACTTTCAACTATTTTTCTCTCTTGTTCCTATTTTTCCCTTAATTCTCCTCTTAGGAGTTGATTAAAAACTCTTGGTTCTGAGCAATGACATATTCTTCATTACTTTTTTTATGTGGATGGTACTAGTTTGTCCTGCATCTCTCAGCAGATTGCTGCGATGCTTCAGATGAATACAACAGCCATGTTCGCTGCCAGAACACTTGCTGGTAAGTTGGATCCAAACAAAGATTCACTGCCTGTAAAATGACCCTTTTTTTTTTTTTTTTTTGTTCTGTTTTTTACCTGGAACAGATCATCTGAAGTATGTGTTCTTTTTTTTTTCTTTCTGATCTAGACTGCTTTTAAAATGATGATTTTATTCCAGCCACTGCCTAAGGGGTTGTTCACCACACCCGTAGCTCAATAGTTTTGCCACCAGGGGGCAGTGTATCTCTATCATTAAACAAAAAAATAAGGTTTGGCTTGGTGTGGAGATGTGGAGTAAATGCATGTAAAGAGGAATCCCACTTCACTGGTTCCTTTTATTTCTTTACATAAAACTTAGATACTGTTCATCCTAAGAAGGAAGTATTTGAATTATATGATTTTTTATTTATTTATTTAAATGAAAGGATAATTTGTTATCTCCTCTCATGCAAGGTTTGACCTTTCTAAGATGCAGGAATGTAAGTTGCTTTGTCAATTTACACCGCCGCTTCGTTTGTTGACAGTCCCCTATTTGTTTCATCTATCTCCCACCTGCCTAAAATGAACCCCACATAGAAGCAGCGTCTATCTCATTATGTTTCTGCAAGGTCCCTGCTCACATTCTGTTTGCCAGACTTCAAAAATGATTTAGCTCCACCACCAACCATCTTATTTACTCCTCTGTTTTATTTAACCCCAGCCCATTTGGATTTTTGCTGCATGGCAGGCTCTAGAAAAATGAATTGCAGCATCTTGGATGACCAAAGCCTGGGTCACTGAGATTTTTCCCATTAATGGTGGTTCAGTGTGTCTCCCTTTTCTCACCATTTTTTCCAGGAATCTGGGACAAAAAGAGCGAGCATACGTCGAGGGTCAGATGAAGACCTTGGACGAAGGTTTGAGACTCAAACAGCAGCTGATTGAGGAGGGGGTGCTGCTCTGGAGGGAGAAACAGGTAATTTGATTAAGTATTTAAAAAATGAAGTCAAGATGAGAAATAAAGTAGCATGTCGTCTGGGCTACATAACATCAGGACAACATTTAGCTTTCTTCTTTTGGTTTATAACTGTGAATCCACCTTTTTCTGTAAGTTTTTGCACCTCAGCTCATGAAAGCAATGTGAGCATCCAAAGCCAGTGGAGTTCTGGCAGAATCATAACTGGTTAATTTATAAAAGCCTTGAAAGTTGAAAAGCATCCGTGTTGATATTTACTACCCTATTAAACTTGCATTAAAACTGCATCTGTGAAGGCAATATTATAGAAAAAATAATATTGAATCAATTACTTCTACTCTGCATATTGCACAGCTCTATATGCAAAAGATGCTCTAACAAATCAGCTGTTGACCAACGATGGACCATTTCCAGCCTGACTTAGGCTACGTTCACACTGCAACCTGTGACCAAGTGACCCAAATCTGATTTTTTTTTAACCATCTTGAAAAGATTGAGGTTTTAAGGTTTGGAAAGATCTCTAGATGCGCTCCGGCACTACCATCTAGTTTACTTCCGTAAACACGAAGCACGCTGGCTTTTCACGTCATTGCGTCCTCTACTGCGCATGCGGGACACTTTAAAAAATCAGATTTGATAAAAAAATCGGAATTGAGCATCAAGGCCTGCAGTGTGAACGTGACCATACTTATGCAAAACTACAACTGGATTTTAGTTGGTTTGTTCTGAGGACCAACAGGTCTTATGGGGACCGAGGGCTGGTCCTAATCAGGTGGACCCACATTTTTAACTTTAGAGAGTCAGTTTAGGCATAAGGTGTGAATTAACTTTAGATTAGGTTGGCAGAGGATTTTTTGAAAGACTCTTGACTTAAAAAAATAATTTGCTTGCAAGAGCCTGCATGCGGCGATTTCTTCCCGTGCATAACCTGTTAATGCATAGATATACAAACTTGTGTGTGTTTTTTATGTTTTTTTTCAGAGAAAAAGAAAAATTAAATACTTGTTTAATTTTTGCTTTTTTGTAATGTTTGTATAAAATCTGATGCGAACATTCCAGAGGATCTAAAACCACTCTTCGGTGTAGATGTTGCCTGTTACGGAAGGAAGAATACTTTAAAATCAGCTAGCTCTTCTGTTCTTTGTGTTGGTTAAATAGAGCAGGACAAAGCAAGTGGATGAAGCAATTTAAAGAAAATTTGTGTGTGTTTTTTTTTTTTAATAAGATCTGTATAGTTAAAGCCGCTTGCTAAAGAGAGAGAGATATTAGGAACGTGGTTTGTTTTTTTTGCACCTTGAATCTTTTAATCTCCGTTGTAGAATATTTTTAAGTCAGATTAAGCTAGTCCTTCATCCCTTAAAGTCGTAGGGAAGTCATATTTAAATGTCAAATCATTCTGGCTTAAACATGTATATAATAATACTCTTTACCAGACCACATTGTACCAAAAGTTAGAAAATTTGTATTAAAAAAAAAAATCTTGTCTTAAAATCTGTGTTTCGTTTCCTTTATCTTTTGCAGGCCAGTTACTTATACGTCAGCTTGTTCACCTAAATTCGGCCAATCATATATGAACGGTCATCTGTCAATGAAATATTGTCTTGTTTTTCATTAAGATTTGTAAATGTTTTTAAAGCGTTTACAAATAATGACTCAGAATGCATGAAAATGACACTAGTAAAATGTTTACCAATATAGACATGTTAGACATCGCTGCAAAGCTTACATTCTCCACAATTCAGCCACCTAGTTCATTTTATGCACGTAGCGAGCACCAAAGCATATAGCGATATAGCAGCATGTCAAAATGTAGCATGACAAAGCAGCCACAACAAGCAAGAATGTCTTTATTACTGCTGTTCAAAAAAGTCCTATGATGTTCGAGAATAAAAAAAAAACAAAAACAACTTAGAGTTTTGTTTGAACTGATGCAGCTTGGGCTTGATGCCCAGCTAGAAGGTGTTGGATTTCAAATAAGGTATCACACTTGTAATTTGGGCTTACAGTTCCTAATTATTTGCTTTTCCATTTAGGTATGCAAAATAGGCGAGAATTTCCCAGGTGGATATTAGGTTAAATTTCAGCCTGTCATTCAGATCGTCCTTTCCTTGTTTTTAGGCAATAAAACCAGATCTCTCTTACTCATGGTGCTTCACTACAGTAGCAGCCATTCAAAATGGTTCTTCCCAGTCAAACGCCAGGTGAATGGCAGCCCACTTCCCTACAGCTCCCATCAAAACCCCCTGCAACTTCCAGCCACTGACCTTCACCTGGGCGTGCATATTTTTTTACTCTGATTCAACCCTTTCACTGAATTACAGGGTCTGACCAGGACATAACACTTCTCTTTAGATCTTAATGTCCACAAATCATGAAAGAAAGAATATTTTGGTAAAAAGATTGATGTTTAAAAAGGAATTCTAGGGGACCATCCAAGGGCTCATCAAGGAAAGTGGGGAAACTTTGAATGGCTAATACTGTAGGTGATCAATGAACAATTTGGCTACAATGAGTTCTACCAGGTTTTAGCCTTTCAAAGACTCAAGATAGAAAATTGGCCACCAAACTGTGACTGGTGCATCTCTTTCGTGTTGAACTTGTTGAATTGCAAATTAATCAAATGTTATTTTTGAGTCTTTGCATATTTAAAAAAAATTATTCAAGTGGTTTGTTTTGTTTGTACCTGCATTAAATTAAAGATTAAACTTAAATTATCCAATGAGAGAAACCCAGATAATCAACCCTAGAAAAAATATGGGATACTATATATTCCCTAAAGCCCTGGGATAAGTTAAAAACAAAATATAATGAGGACAAAATTTGCATCTCCAGTCCTAATTTTAGAGCGTTTACTTGAAACCAAAACCATGTGCACATTCTGACAGTAGGCCAAAAAAAAAAAAAAAAAAAAAAAACATATGTTTTTTTCCCCCTAAAAATCTCATAGAAATGTGCATGTCTGCTTCTAGTTTTCTGCGTCTTGTGAAGATTTTGTTTGTTTTTGTTTTCCTTTGCACATCGAATTAACTTTTCACCTCACTTGCTTCTTATTGCCACATTGTAACTGCACTGTTATCACCTGGCTAGCTGGCTAACACACTTGAGGAATGGGGGACGTCGAGGTTAATTTCCTTTCAGATGTGCAGGATTCTGAGGATTTCTCTTTGGAGCAGCTTGTGCTCTGAGGTGCTGTTTTATGTGTGCATGTTCACAGCACCTGCTGCTTCATACGCCTGTTGTACAGTCAGAGCCAGTTTATAATGCAAACCCTACTTGTCTGAATGTTCTTCTTTCATGAGCATATAGATTATTCCTGTCACTGATATCTGCATATTATGGTTTATTGTATGGATTTCTTCATTATAAAATATTCAACGAAGCAATGTAAACTCTAATGCAATGTTTCAAAACATTGTTTTTGCACTGAATAGCTCATCCAGCAAAAAGCAGCAGTTATTCTAGGTAATTTTATTGAAAATAGAAGATTAGTTTAGATATGTATATATGTATTTAATATCTCAAAGGAGACAGTGGTTTTATTTGACCACTTGAGGACAAATTTACTGTTTGCAGATCACCTAAGCTTCATTCTGTGATGGTAAGGGTCATGAATGTAAACTAAAGACCATATGAATTACATTTAAATCAACATAAAATGCTGTTTAGAAACTATTACATGCAGAAGAAGAAAGTCTGCTGACAGCTTTTTTTTTTATCTATAAGGCTTTGTAAATTCAAGGAGGTAGAATCAACATTTAACTACAGTAGGGCTGCAAATAACGATTATTCTGCAAATCAATTCATCTGTCAATTATTTTTTCGATTAATAATCGATAACCAAAGGTTACTTAATCAAGATTTTTTACAAAATTAAACCAGGGGAACTTTAACTTTTCCAATTGAGGAGTTCTGCATAGGGGACACTGACATATGAAAAGTTTTTTCTTATCTTAAATGCAAATTTTAACATTTTTTTTTCCAATCTTGGTACAATTGCTGCTCTAAATGTGTTTCTCTGTCAGCTAAAGGCATGTTTTACAGTTTCTATACTCCAGTTAACGTAAGTTGATGATTATTTCAATTATCGATTAATCATGATTAATCTGATCGATTATTTCAGCCCTAAACTACAGCGATCTTTCGTTTGCATTGCTGAAGGTTATTTTTATACTTTTTTTAAATTTTTTTAATTGTAAAATTATTTCAGTCTGAGCATTTGGCATTGTTTCTGCCAGGTATTCAAGGTTGTCTGTTTTCATAGATTGTTTTGAGTTTCTAGGCATGTGTCTCCCTCTGATTTTAGGAAGTTGACATTTTCTGTCATAAATTTCAACAGAGAACTTGTAGGGCTGAAACAATTAATCGGATTTATCCTGATTAACTGATTATTGAATTAATTTTCAACTAATTTACTAATAAATAATCGTTAACCGGAGAATAGAGACTCTAAAATGTGCCTTTAGCTGACAGAGTGACCCATTTAGAGCAGTAATTGCACCAAAATTGTAAAAAATAAAATATGTAAACATTTTGCATTTAGGATAAAAATCTTTTTTGTCTGTCAGTATGCCCTATCCAGTTTCACCTGGTTTAATGTAACAAAAAGTCTTCTTTAAGGAACCTTAGGCTATCCGATTACCAACTGATTAATCAATAAAATAAACAACAGATTAATCCATTTGCTTAATAAATGTTTAAATAAACGCCCTACTGTAAGTATGTGTCATGTCACGTCTTCTGTCCCATCACTCGTACCTGTTTTTGTGTCCATGCTATTGCCTGCCTGAGTCTGATTCTCATGGGTTAAACATTTCGGAGAACATCATTTCATATCTTTGATTATTGCTAAACTTGAGAAAAAAAAATGTATAAGATGCTGAAAGTATAGCAAAACTGTTTTGTAAGCTCTCTATATAGTCCTGAAGGCGAATTTGATATTCATTCATATAAATGTCCTCCTGAGTGATTATTATGTGAATATGACTACATGAATTTGAGCATTGTAAGAAAATTTGATATTATTTCGGAAATGCAATTTCAGTTTTTATTAATTCTAGATAAATAGATGGATATTGTGTTTTCTATAGATCTATTTTCGCACACAGGGATAGATTTAGAGTAGCTGAGTGCTCACACATACAGACACCTGGCATTATTATTGCCCCCAGGATCAACAAAAAAAAGATTTTGAACAATTGTTGATAAGTGGATTTGAAATTAGGCAATATGGTTTGAGTTTTGTTTTTCCTTTTTTCTCTTTCATCTATTAAAAAAGTCTAAAAATATGGGCCAACAATCACCCACTGCCGCTTTAAAATATGTTCTTCAGACATATTCATTGATGCTGCTGCACATTTTGCAGCTCTGTGACTTTTTATGGATTACATTAAAATGCTCTGTTTAGAATTCACCTATTTTCTAGGCCACTTTAAGCAGAGCACAGAACTGCTTTTGTTAAGGAGCAATTTTAGAAATCTGTTTCACTTGCTAAACCTTTTGCTTGTATTAAAACTTCGAATGGAAAAAAAAAGCTTTTCTGGCAATTTTCCAGACACATTAAGTACAGTTTTTTTCTCTTTACCAACCGTATTTTTTTTTTTTTTTTATAACATCTATACTTGTATTCCCCCCCCATGACTTTTCTTCCTGCCAGCTGAATGGCAGATCCAGGCTAAAGCTTCCCCTAGTTCTTCACTGTCTCTCTTGATATTGCCAGTGTACCTCAGTACCATTGTGCAACTGAAATGTGAACTCTTCTTGCTCATGGTTCCCAACTTCTAGACAAATCTTCTGTTATCAATTTTTTTTTTTGAGTGAAATTTCAGGATTTAATTAAAATGAATCTGTTCACCAAATGTTAAATAAAACAGCCTTTCATGCTGAGCTTGAGTTTCATCGTTTATTCCAAGCTTAGTATTCGAGTTCGAACCACGACAATGATTGAGGGGTGGGGATTGCTCATTTTGATCTATACTTCAAATTCTTCAAATTTTGTCAATTTCAGAATGAAGTACAAGTGTAGTTTTATGTTTTTGCTATTCCAAAAGTAATAAAAAAACAAACAAACATATAAATATAATACTTGAATTCTTGTAGCTGTTTGGCAGTTTTCGGTTTCTTTTCACGATGCAGAGCAAAACTTCTTCAAGAAAAACTAACTTCACTCAATATTTTAATTGTTTTTAAAAGCTTTTAGTGATTTTCCACGTCCTAGATGACTAAAAAGCTATAACAGCTTTTTAGCTTAATCTAACAAAATAACTTATTGACTTAAGGTCTTGATCTTACACATCAAAGCTTTTGGAACCTAATTCCTATTAGGTTGTTTATAGAAATTTCTTTATAGGCGTTCCTTCCATTTTAGTTGTGTTTTTGCAAGTAGAAATCTTCTTTTGCTCTTGTAATAGAGCCCATAAATCACTGCTGCAGACTGAAGGTTCCCAAGCAAACGGCGTGGCCTAGAAAGGTAGTCATCCCTGGCTGAAACGCCCAGAATCCATCAGTGCATCACCATCGTCTCTGAGGAGACAATGGAAAGCAGAGTCGACACACAAATCCATGCATGGACACACATTTTCAGAGAGGAAGCTGGTCCTCTTTGATGCAAATTGCTCTGTTACAGCGAGTGATGATGGGTTGTGTTTGGGGTGTGATCAGCTGTCAGTCTGATCAAGCTGATTTTAAAAGTCTATACTGATGCACAAACAAACACTGTTGAAAATGTTTTAGTTTAAAAAAAGGGGATGTTGTGGTAAGGAGATGGGGATGTAGAATTAAAAAGAAACTAAAATTGTATAAGGAGAGAAGAGTCAGAAAAAAGTTGCAAGAGGTAACAAAAAATATACACACAGCCTGTGTTTTGTGAACATTTTTTTTTAAACCTCTACAATGCAAAAAATAGTAGTACATCACAGATGAAATTTATATAAGAACTTTCATTATTTATAAGACCCCAACAGTTGTGGCTCCAAACACTTGGACTGTTCTCCCTACTGACCTATGGGAAGATGCAGCATTCGACCAGCAGGTTCTGCAATAGCGGTTTCCTCGCTTCCATCCAACTGTTGAACTGTTGAAACTCTAATCAAGACTCTGCATTACACTTGAAAACATTATATTTGCACTACCAGCTTGGCTGATTTTTATTTTTTAATCCCTTTAAATAGAACACAACTCAATGTTCTACTGCATTTTGCACCATATTTATTTATTTTGCGCTGCTCTGAACCTTTCCATATCACTGCCTTTTGGACCATGACTTTAAATGGATTTTCCTTTTATCCTGCACTGTTTATTCTTGATCAGTGCTGCACTTTCTAAATGAAAATGTGCAATCCACTGTTGTAAGCTGATCATTCACTAAAAAGCTATATGCATCGAAATATACAAAAAGTTTGTCGAAGTCTTAACATTTAGCTGGACTGACTGTTGAAATAGCGGCATACCCCTAGGACAGACCTATAAATAGTATCAAATACCTGTCTCATTATTTTTGAAAATGCAAATTAAATTTGACATATTCACATTTATATCTCAATAAAAACAAATGTATTAAGTTCAATCAAGCATAAATACATGCAAAAAGGTTTGACGCGACTAGAGTCGACCTCGGCAGATGGCCGCTCACACTGAGTCTAGTTCTGATGGAGGTTTCTTCCTGTTAAAAGGGAGTTTTTCCTCTCCACTGTCGCTACAAGCATGCTTAGTGTGAGGGATTGCATTTGAGTCAATAAGTCGATGCAATCAACTGGTTTTCCTTAGATAGAAAACTTTTAATCAATTTGACTGTATGATCTGGTAAACTGTAAAGTGCCTTGAGATGACATGTGTTCTAAATTGGCGCTATATAAATAAACTGAATCGAATTGAATTAGAAACCTGACAAGATTAAGCAACATTAACCTGTGATTGCAGTAAAAGGTAGTACAGTAGCAGCCATTCAAAATGGCCCTTCCCAGTCAAACGCCAGCCGAATGGCAGCCCACTTCCCTGCAGCTCCTAGCAAAATCCCTTACAACTTCCAGCCACTGGAGTGACCCCCTCCTTCGCCTGTGCGTGCATATTTTTACTCTAACCCCACTTTCCAGTTTTTAAAGAAAGTTTTCATTTGTCGTGGTCTTTCTTGCAACATCTCAGTAAAATACAATATAGTTCACGGTGTTGACATTGGAAAAGTAAAAAAATAAAATTACTTTTCTAATACTATTCAAAGTGTGGCATTGAGGTCAGATTCAGACTTTAACATTAGGGTTTGATAGTGATCTAAAGAGGAAAGCCCTAGTTAACAGTGACCATCTATACATCCTATGAAAGTAGGGCGCGTGTGTTATAAGCAGCCTTTGATAGGTCCAACATGTTTAGTATTGAACGACCCCATTCGGTCTGAAAAATCTGCTCTGTATCGATTGTGATCTAATTCCTTCTTCTGAAGGAAAAAAAAAAACATCCTTGGAAAAAAAACGATTGATATATATTTTTTTTTTTTTACCTTTCAAACACTTCTGGAGAAAGCCATTATTGACATTTATTGATAAAAAAAGATAGTAAGACTCCCTAGAAAAAAAATCCATGGCCCTGCCTGCTGAAACTTTATAGCGTTAACACAAAATATAGTAAAACTAAAAGGCTATGCATGCTGGCAAGGACACTTACAGCTCTGGCATAGGAATGCAGAAATCTCAAAGTTCTTAAATTATAACAATGAAAGTTTGATCTAATCATGTTTGCCTTGTTGTCTCTCTGCAGGCGCAGCTCAGGGAGCTTCAGCGGGCTGCTGAAGATCTGCAGATCAAATTAGAGGAGCAGAGGAGGAGGAAACATGAGGCTGACCGACTCAAAGAGCAAACATTAAAGGGTCTGGAAGCAAGGAATAAAGGTAAGAGCGCGTCTATTTTTAGAAACCCACTTCAAGACGCTTGCTCATTTCACAGAATTGTTCCAGTTTATATAGTTTGCGCCTTCATTTTGGCCACAGGGCAGCTTCCATTTCATGTCTGCCCGGCCTTAATGGAGCAAAAGTAAACAGGCTGAGCAGCACTGGTGAGGTTGTTGAACATCAGAGGGGGGGAAACTGGAAATGTTAAGTGCAGTTTCCTCTGCAGTGGAAATTAATTGACTTGGAAAAAGATTGCTGAGCAGCTGCAAACTTCATTCCCTCCGCTCTCCTTTTACATACCTCAGACCTTCAGAGAGACGTTGCATATGAGTCACAGGAAAATTCCCTTATCGCTGCGAGCACAAGCTGGATGGCATTTAAGCCACGCTCTGACTCGTGCTTGTGCTGCTATAGAAAATTGTGAGGATAAAAACTGGGTTCTATCAACTCATGAAATGAAGGATTTACTGATATTAAATGTGGACAGGGGATGCATGGAGTCTCCGGTTTTTAGATTTCACAAACTTAAGATTCACACTTATTATGACATTTAAAGCCCGGGCTTTTCAAATTAACATCCTTGTTTTTCATTTCAGCTTATCAGAAAAGAAAAAAAAACTTTTAGGAATGATGATGCATCGATTGTGTTTCCAGTTTTAAATGCCTCTATGATGATTTATTGTCAGTTGACTTTTGGATCCAAACTAGTTTCAAGTGTAAATCACGCTCATTATATTGTCTCTTTCTTTGGGCGGCACACATCCATCATGCTTCCCAGTGTGCGAGCTGACCTTTCCTGACCATGACAGAAAGGTCCTTGCACACAAATCCTCCCCGACTCTGTCATTCTTTACTTCCATTACGGCTCATCTTCAGGGTATAACAAGCATCAGTTTTAATTTCTGTGCTTGTCTTGTTTATTATGCCCATCCATTTGCAGTTTCAACAGTGATTTCTAATTTGAAATATTTTTCTGCTGAAGTTAGATTTTATTTATCTACGGAGAATATCTACTGTTATGGAGCTTCTTTAACTCAACATTTAGTGCTATTTATGTTTCTGGGTCTGTATACAATAACATAAACATTGTTAATCAAACTTCAGGTACATTTTACTGTAGTCTAAATCATGGTTGTTACAACCTGTGTTGGTTTTTAGTGCTATTTTTCTTTTAATTTGCTTGGAAATTGTGTTATCGTTTATTTATTTTTTTTTTTTACATAAAAAGGGTACCCTATAGAAAAAAAAATCCATGCATCATGTTTATCAATTGTTTTATGCATTTCCTTATATTATAAGGTAATAATACATCTGAATTGTTGGCTTTTTTAAGATTTAGAACAGATTTCATAAGGTAAATATTAACTAAAATAATGTGTTATGTTTTATTTCAAAAAGTTAAGTAATATTTCAACTCTAAATGATTTTTATGCAGCTTGACTCAGGGTTAAATGGCTCTTTGGATATAAAAACACAGCTCTTATTTAAACAATGTACTGTTGTGATAGAGGAGCCGTCATCAGCCGGGACTTAGTTATAAGTCCGTGTCAGCGTGCGCACACACATACACGTACCCAATCGCTCGCTTACTTTTTGTTGCAGCTTGGGCTGGCGTTGTTAATCGTGGGTGCACACGCGGTGTTCCGGTTTCATTTAACATTCACTCTAACCTGTTTATTTTCAACTAAGAATATTTTCTGCTTCCATTTTCAAACAGGGTTATTTCTAGATTGTACCGGGAGGGAGTGACGTGATGATGTAGTGATGTCATCAGAACGTACTGAGTATTTTGTATTAAATTGAGTATTGTATTTTTATTACAAGTTTATTTTTATTTTCTCATTAGTATTGTTTTGTTATTATTATTAGTATTATCATTAACATCATTATTTTTGTACACTTAGTTCATTTGAGTTAGAAGTATTTGGTTAGTTTTGTTTTATTTTTACTTTCTGTGGGTGGAGCCTGTAGCTTTAAAAGCAGGCTTCTGTTCCACAGGGAGGGAGTCTTTGGCTGGACTCCTGAGACGTCACACTGAAGGTGATGGATTCTGACTGCTCTTTTTCTGATTTTAACCTGCCGCGAACATCCATGTAAATATTCTGCACCAGCCATCTTTGTTCACCAGAAGAAAAACTAACTCAATAAAAATCCCTGAAGTGATCTCTGGCATTGGCCAGTCATTAATGTGTTTTACCAAGTCATAATAGAACCCCGTCACAACTGTTAAGAGGAGATGGACCTTAAATTCCTGCCAACCTTCTCCTGTCGTCATCTCAAGGGTTTTTAAACCATTGCTGTTTATGCTCAAAGTTGTTTTTGGTAAAATGGCTTGATAAATGTTTACCGTATTTTCCAGACTATAGAGCGCAAATCACTCTTAAGCCGTGCCCACTAAGTTTTTTGAAAAAAAAAAAAAAAAAAAGTAAATGTACATATATAAGCTGCAGCGGCTATAAGCCGCTGGTATCTACTGAACTGTCTCCCACCAGACCTGTAGGGGGAGCTCTACATATATCCCCCCTAGAGTAGGGATATAGAAGATGCTGGCTCCTGTTAGCTTGTTGGCTAGCTTCTACTTTAAGATGGGGCTTTGTCAGCTCTTTATTTCAGCTTTCCAGTAGTTGGGCCCAGTCTCTTCATTGGTTCGGCACATTTAATGAGGCAAATACTTGTCAAAATATGTGAATTTGGGTTTTTTGTTCTCCGTCGTGCCTGCTGCTAGCCTGTTGTGCTAAATAAAAACTAGCCCCTTATTCTTTCATTTCCAACTTCGACTTCTCCCTCTTATTTATTTATTGTATTTTTGGGGGGCAATTAATTGTATGCTTATTTATTTTTGGAGCATCTATTTATTTCTGTATTTATTTTTAATTATGGCAGGATTGGTCCTCCATATCCCTCTGGCAGTTAGGAAAAATCCACAGAAAAGCTCTGCCTTCTTATAAGCCACATGGTTCAAAGTGTGGGGAAAAGTAGCGGCTTATAGTCCGGAAAATATGGTAACTTAGCAATAAATGGCTATTAATTAAAATTTTGGCACAGGCAACATTACATAATATGTGTAATTGTGTAAGATTGACGGGTTAGGAAAAGCAACAGGTAGATACAACATTGGTATAAAATGGAACAATATTAAGAACCTATGTTTAGGACATCTTTGTGCTTCATTAGCAATTAGTCATTTTAGTGCAGTAACTATTGCTAAATCTTACAGCAATGGCTGTTTTCTATTAATGTGTGTTGGGGAGAGAGGTAAAACCAAACAAAGTAGAAACGTAGTTTTTTCTTCAAAGTCAGAAACATATTATAAAGACACATAATGAGATTTTAGTGGTACACCAATCTAAGTCAGTGCCCTTGTTTACCTAGGTTTGGATTCACAGTTACTATAGGGAGAGCTGGTTTTAGGGTTAATTGGGGAACTCTGCTCTATATATACAATACAATATACTTTCTCCTTAGTGGAATTCAATCATCTCTAATTTATAACAACAGATTGTGCTGTTTTTTTTAATGTAGTTTGTCAAACTGATTTCCCAGAGAATCGTTTCACAGCCTCCAGAGATGATGTGCATCTAAATAGTGCAAGGCAACAATTAAATATGAGAGTAGTTTATTAGTATAAATAAAACAAAAAAAGCCTTGCAGGAGTTAATCAGATTTAAATGTCTGATGGATCACTCTTGAAGGTCAAAAAAATGGCTACAACTCTCAATTCTTTTGCCAATCTATTAATCTTTTGATTATTTTTACGATTAATCAATTAATAATCTGATAGCTAAGGTTCCTGAAAGAAGACTTTTTATGAAATTAACCAGGTGAAAATAAAACTTTTCCACTGGAAGAGGATAGAGCATTTTGATAGATGAATTTTTTTTTTTTAATCTTAAATGCAAAATGTTTATATATCTTTTTACAATAGTGATATAATTACTGTAAGTGGGTTGCTCTGACAGCTAAAAGCATATTTTACAGTCTCTATACTCCATTAAACGATTCGATTAATCACGATTAATCTGATTAACTGTTTTAGCCCTTGTCCAAAATACTTCATACCTTGCAAAGGTGCACAAAAAAAAAAAATCCTTATTCTAATATTATTAGGTTTGTCCTTCTATTATACAATGACGTTATATACAACCCCTCCAATACAGTTGCCTGCAGATCCACCTGCCTGTAATGGTCTATACAGGAATGTCAGAACATGGATTGTTCTGTAAAGGTGTTGTCTTTCGTTATGACCTTAATAGCCTGCGTCAAAATGAGAATGAAAAGCCTGACGAGCAAGCATTTGAGCCCGCAAGGTAGAGCTAAACACTCTGTGCTTTCACCGCTGCTGTCGCTCAGACTTCTCTCCAGGGCTTCATGTGCCGTTATTGAGATGTTTGAAAGGGCCAGGTTATTTGTACCCTCAAAGCAAATTAGTTTCTTGCGGTGCGACGTGTTCGGTACATCAGAAAAAATAGAACAATGGAGAGCTTGGGGTATCAGAGCTGAGTGAACAGCAATCTAACCTTTTTTATTGCTTGCAGTGCTTTCATTTAGGGTATGTGTATGTAATATGTATTTTTTTTCTTTTGTTGCATTGTTTTAAATGTTCATATTTGAGGGCGTTCAGTTTGTGTAATCACACATCAATTAATCATAGAGTACATTCAAGTCTAGTTTTCACCTTTCTGCCATAATGTAAAGTTTCAGAATCGAAAATTAGTGTTTGACCACATCTTTTTTAAACCCAAATTCATTTTCACTCACCACTCCAAGGTAGATTGTGAAAGTTTTCTGAATTTCTATTTTACATTGTAATGTAATAATTAGGTGGATAGAGTCCTATGGTGGCAGATACTCCCACTGGACACAAACGGCGTTGTCTAAAGGAATAGAGGTCACGGAAAGATGGAAAGACTGATGAGAAATAATAAAATTGACCCATCGTGAAAGATAAGGTCATTGTGATATTCACCAATTTTGGCACCAGTACAATTTTTATTGTAACA